GAAGAAGAAGACGACGACGAAAACGACGCAGATGACAAAGAATATGACGACTATGATGACGAAATGTGAATACGTCAACGCAAATGATAGCTCTGATCTAATTGGGGCAACGGGGCCGAAATACAAATCGCGGAATGCGCCGTTAGCCACGAAGTTTGTATTAAATACGGAGTTTTTTCTGGTGCTGAAAAGATTGTTTTGAGGATGGACTAAAAGGCTACTGAAATTCTCTGAGTGGCGCTCAGTTGCGCGAGGCTCATCGCAATGTGGTGAATTGGACGGGTGCACACGAGCGCTGAGTGCTTCCGAGGAGCGGTGCAGGCACAAGCGGACAGATGACAGTGTTAACCGAACGGGGACGTACCCCATATTAAATCAATAACAGATTTTTTTTCACTTCGAAATTGCTTAGTCGTTATCTGAATGCGACGTCTGCTTATAAATGTGAATAGTGTAAATATGGTATTGTTTGGAATCAATTTGATCCTTTCTTTTCAACTTAAAGTTAAAAATGTCTAGTTGAAGCGTTGAGAATATTTCGCACTTTGTTATTTATAGTTTTGAAAATGCAAATAGCTTCTTAGAGCAATTCAACTTTGAAAGTTTCTGACTATCTTGAACCCTACCAAAAATATCCAAAACGAACAGAACTGATTCGTTTTATAAAATGTGCCACAAGAAACAAAACGTGTCCCTATTGAGACACACAGGGTTTTCAAGAATGTGCATTTTTGGGTAAAGGCGGCTCCATACATTCTGAATTCGGCGAGTAGCGAGCGATACACATTCGGTGCTCACCTTACCCACCGTGTGTGAGTCTTTTGTACACATAAAAGGACGAGCACATGAAGCTCGTCAAGCACATCAGCTGCATGGATTTGGGTGACAAGTAGCTCGCTACGCGGCGAATGCCTAAAGTGCGGATCCACCTTAACGTGTGTTGAGGTTAATTTGTTTACCTGTGAGATTCTCTGCCTAGAAACACATTTTCAGGTACTGTTTCAACAGTGCCATAAAATCAAAGAAAATCGCTATATTTCTTTAGCGTCTTCTAGAAATGCCGCTTAGAAGGAGGATTACGATAAATTTACATTAATACTACTTAGTTTTTATTGCCTTCTTTTCCCTTCATATCCTCCGGATGGCACTTTATTTATTCAAAGCCCTAATACCATTCTTAGCAATACCAATTTTTTTTTATTTACTAGTATACTAGTATACCCTCATCTCGATCAGGTTTTGTCCAGTTTCCCTGATCCATTGAGCAAATGCTGAGACGGCACCTTGTTTTGCTTCTGGACGTAAATGTAGCTTCACTGTGCGCACGTTTTGTTGAACTATCCTTTTGCTTGTAATGGGAAGAGTAGAGGTAACGGCGAGCTACTATTTTGTTAGCACTGCAGAAAAATCAAATCTGCAGTACGTATACCGTTGCAAATAAGTTTTCTATAACTCTGGAACAAAAATGTCTTGTTTTTCAAATTTGTTAATCTCGCGATTTTACATTTTTTTAAAAGTTTATTTAATTTATTTTTAACTTTTACTCATCTTTTAACTATTTATAGTTAAAATAGACGGGAAGAGATTCTGAAAACGTGCACAGATAATCTTCTCCCCCCTACGTCACATACAGTTTTTACTTGACTGAATAAATCTAAATCTTGAACAGAGAAAGTTATGTAATACTGCGAAAAATGCATCTCTAGTTTGTGATGGATATACGCATTTTGGGGGACCCCTGATACTAAAAAAAAGCACACATGATTTTGTTGCTCTAAGTTAACATTCAACAATAGTCGAAGTCAATTTCAAAAGGATCTTAATTTTTTGGTGCACTTATAATGAAGTTCATAACACATTTTAAAATTGAAAGAAGAAAATAACGCTCCAATTTGTCTGATTTTTTTTCCCGTATAGGCAGTGCGCTTACAAATACGGACCGACTTTCATTAAAATCAGTGAAGTTTTAATAACTGCAACTTCATATTTTTGTGTGGTTTTTCGAATCTCTCATACACCTTGATTATTGAAGCTAAGCTTCAAAGTTAGAACTTTATATAGTTTCGTGTAGTTTCAAAATATTCGCCGAAGTTTAAGTCAAATCGCGGCAATTTTACAAATACCTAAACAAAATTTTCTTAATATAATTATCATTTTACGTAATTCTCACAATACGAGAAAGTCTGTGCCGTGATGTACTTTTACAAGTTTTTAAGTGACATATGGATTCGTTACTAATCACGAGGAATCTCAAATATGATTCTTTCCTTCTTTCTTTCTTTCTTTCTTTCTCTTTTTAACGATTCAACCTTTTGTTTAATAGATCGAGATTTGCAGCAGCACGAGTATTCAAGAAACTTCCCTAATTTCTCGGAGGGTCGAGCCACGGCCAACTCTACTAGAGTCGGTACAGCCGTGGTCGAGCACAGTAACGAACCTCCTTCTACGTTCAGAGAGGAAAATAACACAAAGGTTTCTGAAACACCTAACCAACCGCTTCGAAATTCAAGGGAGACCGCCTCCTCCCACAGGTACATTTTCACCTCGCCAACTTCAGCAACGAAGCCAACCTATTCGTTTGGCAGCGAGAGCCCGGCGGGAAAGGAAGTTGAATAAACCGCCCGCGGCGCGACAACTCAGCCGCCAACCACTCCATTCAGCTTGATTGCAGCGCGAGATCCCGGCGCCGCGTCGCGCCGCGCCGTCCGCCACCGGAGGCTCACGCGCGCGGCGCCCAATCCTGTCGATTAGCGGCGCTGCAATGCAAAACCAATGTGCCATTTCGCGGGATGAAGCGACGCAACGCGACACGTCGCGTCACGGGCGTTGACGCGTCGGGGGATCAGCGCGTCAAACGCGGCGCCGCCGCCCGCTCGCCCGACAACACGCGCTAGCCCGTACACTCGTTATCCGATAAGAGTTGCCCCCAAAAATGCCGCGTCGGCATTACTGGCACAATTTAATGATACGTACAACGCGCACAGCCTCTTGTTAGACTCAACACTAAAAAAAAGGCATTCGATGACTGGTGAATGTTTTGGGCCTTACGAGGTGGTATGGTTAGCTCCAACAACAAGCAATCCACGTCACGCATTTGGCTTTACGAAGCGCTAAGTTTTCTGATGTTATCCTCTTCCCGACAATGTAGCAATCTCAACTTCCAACTACATATCTATACGCGCGATGAGTAAGTGGAAAAGTCAAATTACCCTGCTTTTTAAGGCATGACTCAACTTTTCACTACCAATGACAGTAATTACATCGTCTTAGTAATTGGGGAGAAGGTCGGGTACATTTTACAAAAATTATTAGAAAATCCCGATTATTATAAATCTTGCAAGCGTTTGAAGTGGTGCCCGAGAAGAAGGGAAATTTTATTCACTTTATTCACTGCGCATCTTTGCCATCTATAAAATTACAGATACCCTTTGGTCTGGCTTAAGCAAAGAAATCGGAAGAATTTGAAAGCATACTTAAGTGGAAATTTTCGCCGACTGTGCCAGAAGAGCACATTTCGGCAACTGTCGAATAAACTAACGTTTAATTTGTTCATTACTCAAAATTTTATATTTTTAATTTAAAAAGCAGTGCTATAGTAGTATTGTGCTGTTTATATTCTAATATATTACATACATGTGGAAGTATGTATGCAAAGTGTGTGTATTTGCAACTAGTTTGAAACACTGGAGTGATTGCCCCCAAATTTAGTACAAATACTTTGGGGCTGGAAATCAAAATACGAAGAGGAGGTCCGATTCCAAATGTAACTCCCAAATGTGATTTCCTTTTTTTACAAACATTCAAATTTAGTCTTGACTGCACGAAGTAACTATGCTAACTATGCTTAACTATGCTAGCCTGACCATCATCAAAATCAATATATGAACAAGTGAACCGAGAGGTGTGGGGGGGGGTGCATAGAGCAGACTGAATATAACACTAAAATGAAATATTGCGTTAAATTACAATAAGGAAAGAAAAAAAGGTATGACAATTTTAAAAAAAGTGACTATAAACTACAAGATCGGTAAAGTCGTGATGAAACACATATATGAAATTCTGGGTCCACGTAGAATGTGGAAAAGTTGTACTGTTTCATTAGTGAAAGTACAACATAATAGAAGAATTAGTTGATAATTACAAATTATATTGAAACAACTATTGTTATTGAATATTACCCTTTGGTTTGTGTGTAAAAAATTCCAGTGTTGAGGTATGCGAGAACAATTAACAAGTTTTATCAACAATATATTTTAGGCAATTTAAGTTGAGTATTTACATAGAAATACACTGTATACCTGCTGTAGTAATTAATTTAATACTAATTTTATCAATTGTTAATAGTTGTACCCATCTAATCGGTAATATATGTAGTTTCTCCACTCACCCCCATATCTTGGTGCAGATTGCATTGAACTGTGAGGAAAATGCATCCTGCATTGAATACTCAAG